AATCAAATTAATCCGTTCCAGACACCCAAAAATATTAACAAAAAATACATTTTATAGAGAATAACTATAGTTTTACATACAGAAAAAATGATAAATAATTATAAATGGCTTAAATGTCTTAGACAGGGATGTGTAATGTCACCATGGTTGTTTAATATATTTATAGATGGGGTTGTAAAAGAAGTAAATGCTAGGGTGTTCGGGAGAGGGGTGGGATTAAATTATGGGGAATCAAATACAAAATGGGAATTGACACAGTTGCTTTTTGCTGATGATACTGTGCTCATGGGAGATTCTAAAGAAAAATTGCAAAGGTTAGTGGATGAGTTTGGGAGTGTGTGTAAAGGTAGAAAGTTGAAAGTGAACATAGAAAAGAGTAAGGTGATGAGGGTATCAAATGATTTAGATAAAGAAAAATTGGATATCAAATTGGGGAGGAGGAGTATGGAAGAAGTGAATGTTTTCAGATACTTGGGAGTTGACGTGTCAGCGGATGGATTTATGAAGGATGAGGTTAATCATAGAATTGATGAGGGAAAAAAGGTGAGTGGTGCGTTGAGGTATATGTGGAGACAAAAAACGTTATTTATGGAGGCAAAGAAGGGAATGTATGAGAGTATAGTAGTACCAACACTCTTATATGGGTGTGAAGCTTGGGTTGTGAATGCAACAGCGAGGAGGCGGTTGGAGGCAGTGGAGATGTCCTGTCTAAGGGCAATGTGTGGTGTAAATATTATGCAGAAAATTCAGAGTGTGGAAATTAGGAGAAGGTGTGGAGTTAATAAAAGTATTAGCCAGAGGGCTGAAGAGGGGTTGTTGAGGTGGTTTGGTCATTTAGAGAGAATGGATCAAAGTAGAATGACATGGAGAGCGTATAAATCTGTAGGGGAAGGAAGGCGGGGTAGGGGTCGTCCTCGAAAAGGTTGGAGGGAGGGGGTAAAGGAGGTTTTGTGGGCGAGGGGCTTAGACTTCCAGCAAGCGTGCGTGAGCGTGTTAGATAGGAGTGAATGGAGACGAATGGTATTTGGGACCTGACGATCTGTTGGAGTGTGAGCAGGGTAATATTTAGTGAAGGGATTCAAGGAAACTGGTTATTTTTATATAGCCGGACTTGAGTCCTGGAAATGGGAAGTACAATGCCTGCACTCTAAACGAGGGGTTCGAGATATTAGCAGTTTGTAGGGATATGTTGTGCATCTTTATAGGTATATGCTTCTAAGTTGTTGTGTTCTGAGCACCTCTGCAAAAACAGTGATTATGTGTGAGTAAGGTGAAAGTGTTGAATGATGATGAAAGTATTTTCTTTTTGGGGATTTTCTTTCTGTTTTGGGTCACCCTGCCTCGGTGGGAGACGGCTGACTTGTTAAAAAAAAAAAAAAAAAAAAAAAAGACTAATGAAATGGATAAATGAAAATTTAACATCACTTTTACCTTTATTGAAGACTCTTGTTGGTGTATGGAAGACAGCAAGGAGGGGAAAGGGAGGAGGAGAGGTTATTGTTTGGAAGGGGAGTCCCCGTCCATAAGGAATTCAGGTATCAAGGCCCTGTCCGGGGTTACTTCCCTTCTTTGTGTTTTACTGGCACTAGGACCAGCTTAAGAGTCACTGGACCCCTGTTGCACAAAAAAATCTGTCCAGAGAGGTCTGTTTCTGGCATCTCTTTAAGATTTGCCTAAAATGGGACAAGGCATTGTCATTGAACATGTTGAAGACATGGCTTACAACAGCTCTGTTAGGGTGATATTCCTCCACAAAACTTTGCAACTCATTCCACTTTGCACACATGTTCTTAATCACAAAGGCAGACTGAGTCACAAACTCATGGGATGCTTTGTGTTGGCGTTCAATTCCGGGACATGAGTGGCTGAGTCACGCGGGCAGGTGGATGAGTTTGGTACGGACCATTTTCAGTTGTACGAAAACTGAGCAGATGTACGAAAACTGGGACAAAATTTTGACAAAAAAAAGTCGTTGAAAACTGAATCGTACAAAAACGAGGGTATATGAAAACCGAGGTTAGACTGTATAGTATAAATTGGTACAAATACTGTAATTGTTTTTATTCTATTGTTTACTGCTTTGGTCTTCTAACACTATACATGAGGAATAATTATGATATGTTTTAAGATGTAATATCCCTCAAAATATGGAAATAAGTGACACTGATTAAATTGGATTCTTCTTCTTTCAACAAACTGGCCATATCCCACCGAAGCAGGGTGGCTCAAAAAGGAAAACAAAAGTTTCTCTTTTTAACTTTAGTAATGTATACAGGAGAAGAGTTACTAGCCCCTTGCTCCCGGTATTTTAGTTGCCTCTTATGACACACATGGCTTACAGAGGAAGATTTCTGTTCCACTTCCCCATGGAAACTAAATTGGGTTATCCTAGGTTAATTATTATGTATAAACAAAGTAATTCCTGTGTGCATAACACACTTGTGCCCTCAAGACAGACATATAGGTACAAGAAAATCTTCTGATATGACAATTGTTTCACGGTGTAATACTCATTGAAACACAGAAATAAGTCACATTAACTATATTGGGTTATCCTAGGTTAAATCTACATAGTGGTTGTTTTTGGCTGAATTCAACTGTTTATATTATTAAATTGTAATGAATTTGGAATGAATAAGACATCTTCCTGCAAATTCGACACTGTTAACCAGTAGGGAAGCTGGTAGTGAAACAACAGATCCTGGTTTCATTCTTTACTTATGCAGTGTAACCCATGATGCACTATGTGGACCCATCAGTCTTAGATTTTTTCAAAGGCATGAAGAGGTTGCAGGAGACCCAAACAGTTGTGCTGAGGTCAAAAATACTGGCAAGTGGTGTATTTGAAGGTACGAAAAATTGTGTGTACTAGTATGTCAGACATACAGCCATCACTTGCATACTAGTACGTTGGATACAGTTGAAGGTTAAATAAACTTCATTATTCAAAACTGTATGGAAGACAAACTTCATTTTTATCTACTTAGCTACAGCACTTGTAATCCTTTCATATTGTATGAGAAAAATTATATACCAGTAATTCTTCATTTTGTTAAATATCCTCTGTTTTCATAAAATACCTATTTTTGAGCAGCATGTATATTGCATTTCCAGAGACATCAACACTAAAAGAGAAGATTACCTAGCCTGGGGAGAATATTTCATGGCCATGGCAGCTTTGTCTGCTCTCCGAAGTAAAGACCCTATTACCCAGGTAAATTTTTTACGTGTTGACTATGCCTAGAATACTAGTATTTTAACATCAAAATTTTTGCCTGTGGGACACTCTGGCACCCCACTGTGGGCAGCTGTTTATTCTAGAAACTGTTAGATATAATAAAATCTTGTAAGACTGTAAAATGTTAGTACCTTACCATTGGATGAAATGAAAAGCTTGTGGTCTTTAGGCTTAGTGATATATGTTGATAAAAACTTGCATGGTACCCAAATATTTATTATAACACATTAGAGTAGCTTATTGTATTTATAAACTATTTGCTGCATGAGGGAGGTTCTTTGATATCAGTGTTGGGCTTTAGAACCAAGGAACTGGGTCTGACCTTTGCTTCCTTGGAGTAAACCTGATTGCCTTCCATTTCCCTAGGCATTTTATAGCACTTCCAACCTCTGTAATAATACAAAACATTCATAAATTTTTCAACTGTTCTTGAACTATTTAAGCTCTATATAGGTTGGTTAGTCTCTTCAAGGATAGTACCTTGGTCTTGGTAAGGGCACCTGAATGCTTTAATGTGCTTACACATATCTTCAGAAGATATGTAGGTAAGTAAGCACATGAAAATGAAAGCACTCAGGTTTTATTTCCTGTTTTCACTGTGGTATTTTTTTCATATTTGCAGTCACACATTTTATTGCGATGGATAAGGATACCCAGATGTTGTACATGTCTAAATCTGGTATTTTAGTCGCCTCTATCCCAGAACCTAACCTGCTGTATAAGCAGGCCCCTCCTGTATATACATTTATACACTTGATAGGGATTTAGCACTATGACCATAAAATTGTTTTACACTTAAAACAGAAGGAAAAGGACCAGGGCATTCTCCACCTCCCATGTGTTTCTTTGTTGAATGAGTGCGGTGTGCCACTATCTTTTGATTTGGCATTGTTCTTTACTTAATGATTTTTTTCATCTTTACTAATGGTCAGTACTTCATTCAGTATTTAATACAATCAAGATTGGCAAATGCTATCTAAAACAGTTGAGAGAGAGACGCAGCTGTTGGCATGGCTGACGCGGCAGGTTGTGTAGCGGGCTAGCTGCGGGATTTTCAAGGATAGCTCCTGGTCAAAGAGGCTGACCAGGTCCCTACTTAACAGAACTCAGTGTGAATGCTTTTGAGAAGATACCAGAGCAGCAAACGGACATCCCAGTGCATCGTTTCAGCGTAAATAGATGAAGTGTTGTGCAGTTTTAGAGGGTTTGGTGTTGTTGAGTCAGGACCAGTCAGCGCCTCTCCCCCTCTCCGCTGGGGGGGAGGGGGAGGGCGTGTGTAGTAAACAGTGACCCTCTCATAACGCCTCACCCCTGCGCGGGCTCCCCCGCCTCACCCACCCAGCTCCCAGCGCCACCCCATCTGTAGAGGGTACTTCTCCCCTAACCCACGATGTCAGCGATGGTACTGCAGCCGCAGGGAGTGCCGGGCTCACAGGAACTTCCACTACAGGGACAGCATCGTGGAGTTCGACCGCGAGGCAGCTGCCAGGTGTGCCACAGGCAGTGTATACTCAGTTCCTCAAGCTTCAACATCCGTGCACACGAGGGCCTGGGATCTTCAATCAACTTGGCGTCCACCAGGATGCTGACATGTCCCTAGGACAGCTCTCCATCGGGCTGCTAACGGAGTCACTGGCTTCTTGGACCTCTTGGGGAGGGTCGATGGTGCTCGTGCAAGCAGCAGATCCCTGGGCAACTTGCTGCTGTTTGCAATGGCTGTCTACCGAGGAGAGACAGGCACCTAGCAACATCTGTTGTTGGGGCAATGGATGAATTCCCTACTATGTTTGTTAACTGCTCATTACTCTGTAATTTGTCTATGATTGTAATCATGTCATAACGTGTTTATCATTCATTACCTTTGAAACTTGTCATGATTGTGACCAGCTCTACCTGGAGCTCATTACCTTTGTAAATTCTCATGATTAATGTGTTATGATTCATTACCTTTGTAATTATTCATGAGTGTGACCAGCTCAACCTGGAGCTCATTACCTTTGTAACTTGGTCATGATTATGACCAGATCTAGTTCATTAACTTTGTAACTTGCTCAGCTATCAAAACTTTGGAGTCCAGTCCCTGGACCAATTATGTACCTCTGTAATCTTTTGACTACTGCCCACAGGATGGGTATGGGGTGCATAATAAACATATTAAACTAAAAAAACAGTTGAGATTGATATGTACGTATATTATTTAATACTATTCATGTTGTTAGGTAAGACACATATGCAACAGTTAGGTATCTTTATATCGAAGCATTTAGCCTACACATTAGGCTTCTTCAGTCAGGTACAGAAAAGTTGGTAGAAGCAGAAGAAATGTGAAGATGATGTAATCAGTCCATCATCCTTGAAGATCTAGTTTTGAGGTGGTCAGTCCCTCAGCCTGGAGAAGAGTATTTGTTCCATAGTCTGAAACAATATGAAGTTGAAGTGACAGTATGGATCCTTATATACTGTCAGGAGGTGAAATGTAGGCCTCTGGTGGAAGCAGGAATGTAAGGATTGAGAGGTTACATCCAAGGATGTGACCTCTCAATGAGTACATTGACATTCACTCTGTCAGACACTGCAACACAATGGTATCTTGGTACAGAAGAGAAAATACCTTGGACAACTTCTAGTGAGAATGGTTGAATTTGAGAGGGACATAACCTCTCAATGATTACATTCTTGCTTTTACTAGTGGCCTATATCTCACCTCCTGACTGTATATAAGGCTCCATACTGTCACTTTAACTTCACATTGTTTCAGACTATGGAACAAATACTCTTCTCCAGGCTGAGGGACTGACCACCTCAAAACTAAATCTTCAAGGGTGATGGACTGATTATATTGTCTTCACATCTCTTCTGCTGCTACCAACTTTTCTGTACTTGACTGAAGAAGCCTACTGTGTAGGTGAAACGTTTTGAAATAAAGATACCTAACTGTTGCATATGTGTCTTACCTAACAACCTGTAGGTATTTTATACCATTTTAATATTCACTATTCATATTGGCAAATACCTGTACTATTTGATACACTGGTAGGAAAATGTAAGACAGTGTGTTTGCATTCAGTGTTTGTATGACAGTGAAACATTACTGTTGCTCTCAGAGAAGCAAAAGAATGTGTGTATCATAATAGTCCACTAATCTTTGAAAGTGGCTCATGTATGAGCATGAAATGATTTTAGTTTTTGGTTTAAACTGCTATTCAGAAATAGTGAATACTGTATCATTAATCTTACAAGAGAAACCATACCAAATGGTGTAGCATAATAGCTTATTTTTAAGCATGTCTTTTACAGGTCGGAGCATGCATCGTCAACAGTGAAAACAAAATTGTTGGTATTGGTTATAATGGTATGCCTTGGGGTTGCAATGATGATCAGTTACCTTGGAGTAAAACCAGCTCGGATAAACTTGAAGCAAAGTACATGTATGGTAAGTGTTTATGCTTAATTCCAATAAATAATATTGGAGTGTTATAATGATTATATAATCACTTAGTGTCTGTAATCATAAGCTAATCATAGAATTTTTAGTTAAGGCTATTTTTTTCTTTTTTGACCACGACCACACTGGACTTCGCCCACCAAAGCAGAATGATTCAAAATAGGAAAAAATTCATTATCATTAATTCAGTAACTGACATACTGTTGTACAGACATCACAGTTCAGATGACCCTCCAGACTACAAGGAACTGCATCCTTCAACAGAAATATCAACCATTTTCATTCAGGAAATACTTTCCACTTTTTGGGTATTTTTTTTTTTAAAATGCTAGCTGTCTCCCACCAAGGCAGGGTGACCCAAAAAAAAGAAACACTTTGACCATTATTAACACTGTCACTGTCTTTGCAGAGGCTCACAGATATGACAATTTAGATGTCACTCTAAGCAGCAAATATGTATCCCAAACCCCTCCTTTAAAGTGCAGGCAATGCAGGGCCGGCCTTAAGCCGATTGGGCCAGTTGCTCCCAGTTGGGCCCCGTGCCTAAGGGGCCCCGCTCTAGAGTGTATTCTACTCTTGGCTTGTCAAGTACACACAACAACAGGAAGTAAAAAAAAAGGGGGCATCTGGAGAAAGGAGTTTTTCCAAGCTGAAACTGTTCAAAACTTACTTGAGATCATCAATTCAGCAAGAATGTTTGAAAAGTGTGGCGATTGAATCTGAAATTAACAGGAGTTTAAATTTTGACAAATTTTGTTTGTTACTTGTAGGCTTTCATGTATGCAATTTTATATTAAAATGTAGCTTACATCTGTTTGGTCTGTTAATTTGCATGCATTTTTTTAAGCACGCAGTTTGATTGCTTCCCATACATGGGGCCCACCAGAATTGTTCCCAATTGGGTCCTGCGTCTCCTAAGGCTGGCTCTGTAGCAATGTACTTCCCACCTCCAGGACTCAAGTCTGTCTAACTTGTTTCCCTGAATCCATTCACAAAATATTACCCTGCCATTTTTATTTTTCTAATGTGGTTTCTAAATATAAAATCATTATACTAATTAGGTTGGAATCTTTACAAGTTACATATTTGTCAGTTTTGGTGTTATGTTCAAATTCTTTCAGAGCATTAGCAAAATTCAACATGGTCATGATTAATTTGTACATCTGGTATAAAACCTTTTCAGAAAAATTTCCATGATAGCTGCAACAGAGCACACAGGCATAACATAAGATGCAAAAACCCCTTTGACATCCCTTGTGTCTGACTCAACCTGTGGTAAAAACTCAAGTGTGCAAAAAAGAGCTTAAAATCAAGAATTCCCTGCATGATGCATTGAGAGGTCTCTATTTGACAGTCGATTCATCCAATTTTCTCTCTCTCTCTTGTTTTTCAGCCTTCCTTGAACAGAAAGGTCCTTGGTTGAAAACTTGTGGGAAAGTTTTGTTATATCCAAGTGTTCCTGCCTCCAGCTCACATATAGTAATGACCCTTATAGGTTTAATGCTGAGTTATGATTATAATAATAATCACCTATAGTAAACAGATACCTGGTGTGGGTTACCTCTAGGAGGATCATATGTCATTTCATATACAGTACTGGAAGACCCAGACTTTGAAATGAGTTAAGGTATAACAACAGTTTTTTTTTTTTCAACAAGTCGGCCATCTCCCACTGAGGCAGGGTGACCCAAAAAGAAAGAAAATTCCCAAAAAAGAAAATACTTTCATCATCTTTCAATACTTTCACCTCACTCATACATAATAACTGTCTTTACAGAGGCACCCAGATACAACAGTTCATAAGCATATATAAAGATATGTTACATATCCCTCCAAACTGCCAATATCCCAAACTCCTTTAACCCTTAAACTGTCCAAACGTAGATCTACGTTCACTTACGTAGCGCTCCAAACGTAGATCTGCGTTCGATTTTACATGCTTTCTTATGTAAAAAAATGTAGATCTATGTTCAGAGTGCTATGCAAGTGAACACAGATTTACGTTTGGACAGTTTAAGGGTTAAAGTGCAGGCATTGGACTTCCCATTTCCAGTACTCAAGTCTGGCTATATAAAAATAACCGGTTTCCCTGAATCCCTTCACTAAATATTACCCTGCTCACACTCCAACAGCTCGTTATGTCCCAAAAACCATTCGTCTCCATTCGCTCCTATCTAACATGCTCATGCACGCTTGCTGGAAGTCCAAGCCCCTTGCCCACGAAACCACCTTTACCCCCTTCCTCGAACCTTTTCGAGGACGACCCCTACCCCTCCTTCCTTCCCCTACAGATTTATACACTCTCCAAGTCGTAAAGTAAAAGGACACAAGTGCAACTAATGTGACATTTATTGTGGCAACGTTTCGCTCTCCAGGAGCTTTATCAAGCCATTAGCTTGGCTTGATAAAGCTCCTGGAGAGCGAAACGTTGCCACAATAAATGTCACATTAGTTGCACTTGTGTCCTTTTACTTTACATATTGTCGGTAATTCTACCAACTTTATTACACTCTCCAAGTCATTCTACTTTGATCCATTCTCTCTAAATGACCAAACCACCTCAACATCCCCTCTTCAGCTCTCTGACTAATACTTTTATTAACTCCACACCTTCTCCTGATTTCCACTCTCCAAATTCTCTGCATAATATTTACACCACACATAGGTAGTAGGTTGGTAGACAGCAACCACCCAGGGAAGTACTACCGTCCTGCCAGATGACTGAAACAGAAACCTGTAACTGTTTTGCATGATGGTAGGATTGCTGGTTTCTTTTTCTGTCTCATAAACACGCTAGATAACAGGGATATCTTGCTACTCCTACTTACACTTTGGTCACACTTCACAGACATGCACATGCATATATATATACATACATCTAGGTTTTTCTCCTTTTTCTAAATAGCTCTTGTTCTTCTTTATTTCTTCTATTGTCCATGGGAAGTGGAAAAGAATCTTTCCTCCGTAAGCCATGCGTATCGTATGAGGCGACTAAAATGCCGGGAGCAATGGGCTAGTAACCATTTTCTCCTGTAGACATTTACTAAAAAAGAGAAGAAGAAAAACTTTATAAAACTGGGATGCTTGAATGTGCGTGGATGTAGTGCGGATGACAAGAAACAGATGATTGCTGATGTTATGAATGAAAAGAAGTTGGATGTCCTGGCCCTAAGCGAAACAAAGCTGAAGGGGGTAGGGGAGTTTCGGGGAAATAAATGGGATTAAATCTGGAGTATCTGAGAGAGTTAGAGCAAAGGAAGGGGTAGCAGTAATATTGAAGGATCAGTTATGGAAGGAGAAAAGAGAATATGAATGTGTAAATTCAAGAATTATGTGGATTAAAGTAAAGGTTGGATGTGAAAAGTGGGTCATAATAAGCGTGTATGCACCTGGAGAAGAGAGGAATGTAGAGGAGAGAGAGAGATTTTGGGAGATGTTAAGTGAATGTATAGGAGCCTTTATACCAAGTGAGAGAGTAATTATGGTAGGGGACCTGAATGCTAAAGTAGGAGAAACTTTAGAGAGGGTGTGGTAGGTAAGTTTGGGGTGCCAGGTGTAAATGATAATGGAAGCCCTTTGATTGAACTTTGTATAGTAAGGGGTTTAGTTATAGGTAATACATATTTTAAGAAAAAGAGGATAAATAAGTATACAAGATATGATGTAGGGCGAAATGACAGTAGTTTGTTGGATTATGTATTGGTAGATAAAAGACTTGAGTAGACTTCAGGATGTACATGTTTATAGAGGGGCCACAGATATATCAGATCACTTTCTAGTTGTAGCTACACTGAGAGTAAAAGGTAGATGGGATACAAGGAGAATAGAAGCATCAGGGAAGAGAGAGGTGAAGGTTTATAAAAATAAAAGAGGAGGCAGTTAGGGTAAGATATAAACAGCTATTGGAGGATAGATGGGCTAATGAGAGCATAGGCAATGGGGTCGAAGAGGTATGGGGTATGTTTAAAAATGTAGTGTTAGAGTGTCAGCAGAAGTTTGTGGTTACAGGAAAGTGGGTGCGGGAGGGAAGAGGAGCGATTGGTGAATGATGAAGGAAAGAGAGTAGTAAGGGAGAAAAAGTTAGCATATGAGAAGTTTTTACAAAGTAGAAGTGATGCAAGGAGGGAAGAATATATGGAGAAAAAGAGAGAGGTGAAGAGAGTGGAGAAGCAATGTAAAAAGAGAGCAAATGAGAGAGTGGGTGAGATGTTATCAACAAATTTTGTTGAAAATAAGAAAAAGTTTTGGAGTGAGATTAACAAGTTAAGGAAGCCTAGAGAACAAATGGATTTGTGAGTTAAAAATAGGAGAGGAGAGTTATTAAATGGAGAATTAGAGGTATTGGGAAGATGGAGGGAATATTTTGAGAAATTGTTAAATGTTGATGAAGATAGGGAAGCTGTGATTTCGTGTATAGGGCAAGGAGGAATAACATCTTGTAGGAGTGAGGAAGAGCCAGTTGTGAGTGTGGGGGAAGTTTGTGAGGCAGTAGGCAAAATGAAAGGGGGTAAGGCAGCTGGGATTGATGAGATAAAGATAGAAATGTTAAAAGCAGGTGGGGATATAGTTTTGGAGTGGTTGGTGCAATTATTTAATAAATGTATGGAAGAGGGTAAGGTACCTAGGGATTGGCAGAGAGCATACATAGTTCCTTTGTATAAAGGCAAAGGGGACAAAAGAGAGTGCAAAAATTATAGGGGGATAAGTCTGCTGAGTATACTGAGTATGGTAGAGTTATTATTGAAAGAATTAAAAGTAAGACTGAGAATAGGATAGCAGATGAGCAAGGAGGCTTTAGGAATGGTAGGGGGTGTGTGGACCAGGTGTTTACAGTGAAACATGTAAGTGAACAGTATTTAGATAAGGCTAAAGCGGTCTTTGGCATTTATGGATTTGGAAAAGGCGTATAACAGGGTGGATAGGGGGGCAATGTGGCAGATGTTGCAGGTGTATGGTGTAGGAGGTAGGTTACTGAAAGCAGTGAAGAGTTTTTACGAGGATAGTGAGGCTTAAGTTTATAGTATGTAGGAAAGAGAGAAATTATTTCCCAGTAAAAGTAGGCCTTAGACAAGGATATGTGATGTCACCGTGGTTGTTTAATATATTTATAGATGGGGTTGTAAGAGAAGTAAATGCGAGGGTCTTGACAAGAGGCGTGGAGTTAAAAGATAAAGAATCACAGATAAAGTGGGAGTTGTCACAGTTGCTCTTTGCTGATGACACTGTGCTCTTGGGAGATTCTGAAGAGAAGTTGCAGAGATTGGTGGATGAATTTGGTAGGGTGTGCAAAAGAAGAAAATTAAAAGTGAATACAGGAAAGAGTAAGGTTATGAGGATAACAAAAATATTAGGTGATGAAAGATTGGATATCAGATTGGAGGGAGAGAGTATGGAGGAGGTGAATGTATTCAGATATTGGGAGTGGACGTGTCAGCGGATGAGTCTATGAAAGATGAGGTGAATCATAGAATTGATGAGGGGAAAAGGGTGAGTGGTGCACTTAGGAGTCTGTGGAGACAAAGAACTTTGTCCTTGGAGGCAAAGAGGGGAATGTATGAGAGTATAGTTTTACCAACACTCTTATATGGGTGTGAAGCATGGGTGATGAATGTTGCAGCGAGGAGAAGGCTGGAGGCAGTGGAGATGTCATGTCTGAGGGCAATGTGTGGTGTGAATATAATGCAGAGAATTCGTAGTTTGGAAGTTAGGAGGAGGTGCGGGATTACCAAAACTGTTGTCCAGAGGGCTGAGGAAGGGTTGTTGAGGTGGTTCGGACATGTAGAGAGAATGGAGCGAAACAGAATGACTTCAAGAGTGTATCAGTCAGTAGTGGAAGGAAGGCGGGGTAGGGGTCGGCCTAGGAAAGGTTGGAGGGAGGGGGTAAAGGAGGTTTTGTGTGCGAGGGGCTTGGACTTCCAGCAGGCGTGCGTGACCGTGTTTGATAGGAGTGAATGGAGACGAATGGTTTTTAATACTTGACGTGCTGTTGGAGTGTGAGCAAAGTAACATTTATGAAGGGGTTCAGGGAAACCGGCAGGCCGGACTTGAGTCCTGGAGATGGGAAGTACAGTGCCTGCACTCTGAAGGAGGGGTGTTAATGTTGCAGTTTAAAAACTGTAGTGTAAAGCACCCTTCTGGCAAGACAGTGATGGAGTGAATGATGGTGAAAGTTTTTCTTTTTCGGGCCACCCTGCTTTGGTTGGAATCGGCCAGTGTGATAATAAAAATAATAACATTTGAGATTACATGGATTACTATTTTTTGGCACACTTCTGGCAAGGCTGGTGGAGTGAGTGATGATGAAAGTGTTTCTTCTTTTTCAGATCACCCTGCCTGAGTGGGAAAGGGCCAGTATGTTAAAGAATGAAAAATAATAATGATCCACATGTTAAATTTGCATATAAATAATCTGCTACTAGTAGAAGCTTCTGTATTAATAAAATGAGGTTTTGTGGTGCAACTATTGTATTCATAGTGATTTTCTTTATTCCAAATATTGTAAGACCATTTTGTTTCAAAAGTTTGATTAAAAGTTTGGTGAAACTGTATTTGAAATGAATGAAATACTTTATAACATACATTGTACTTACTGTTAAACTGTACTATGGCAGAATACTTCAGGTATTTCAAGTAAAAATTTAATCAAAATGTGTGAATATTTAATGAAGTATTTAAATTTCAGTTTGCCATGCAGAAGTAAATGCCATCATGAACAAAAACTGTGTCGATGTTGCTGGCTGTACAATCTATGTTGCACTTTTTCCTTGCAATGAATGTGCTAAGGTTATTATTCAAGCTGGAATCAAGAAAGTAATATATCTCTCAGATAAATTTAAAGAAGATCCTTCAACAGTTGCTTCAAAGAGAATGCTAGATTTAGCAGGGATCCTATATTGGTAAGTTGATGTTGTGTTCTCCCACATACATACACACGCACAGAAGAAAACTCTGTACAGGGCATCACTGATACATGGATAGGAATGATAATTCGTCTTTGTACAAATGAAGATTGTATCGTAACTGGCCTTAATTTTTTCTTTTAGCAAGCTGGCTGTCTTCTACCGAGGTAGTGACCCCAAAAAAAAGAAACACTTTCATCATCACTCACTCCATTACTGTCTTGCCAGAGGGGCACCAATAATACAGTTCAAAACTGCCCCTCCTTCAGAGTGCAGGCACTGTACTTCCCTACCTCCTGGACCCCAAGTCTGGCCAACTGGTTTCCCTGAATCCCTTCATAAATGTTGCCTTGCTCACGCTCCAACTACAAATCAAGTCATAAAAGCCATTTGCCTGCACTCACTCCTATCTAACATGCTCAAACATGCTTCCTGGAAGTCTAAGCTACTCACACACAACACCTCCTTTACCCTCTCCCACCATCCTTTCTGTGATGACCTCTACCTCGCCTTCCCTCCACTATAGATTTATAAGCCCTACAAGTCATTTTGTTCCATCCTTTATAAATGTCCAAACTGCCTCAACAACCCCTCTTCAGCCCTCTGGATAATGCATTTAAACTGCTGAAACAGTCACCATTGTATCAGATTTACTGTGCACTGATTACTGATTTTATGCAGGTTTGCTCTATACTTCTACTCTTATGTGATGCCCCATTTCAAGCAGCAATTTGTGTAATATATAAATTCACCCTATGCAGTGAGTGCAGTTCACAAAATGTAATGAAGATTTCTATGAAAATGAATTACTGTAAATGCTGATTACTACATATGCCATAACCCTGGAAAGCAGCTTGCATAGCGTGATAGATGTTTTCCAGGTATTAACATTGGCTCCTTCCAATTTATATACCTTTTTAATCTATTGTTTAGGGAAATTTGTCTCAGCAAGTATTAGCTAAGCTTACTTTATTACCAACCATCTACAAGCATGATTCTTCTTCTTGCTTGTTATAATTGGGTTGCTAGCCATGGAGAGTTACACATTGATCACTAGCATTTATGATGCAACTCATAACATTAATCTTGTGGGATTTGAGTCATGTAAATTAAGATAGGTATTTTTTTCATTTTGATTTTGATACTGTAATAGTAAATTTCCTAGGTAGTAGGTTGTTAACCAGCAACAGCCTAAGGAGGTAATACTGTCTTGCCAAGTGAGTGTAAAACAAAAGTCTGTAATTGTTTTACATGATGGTAGGATTGCTGGTGTCTTTTTTCTGTCTCATAAACATGCAAGATTTCAGGTACATCTTGCTACTTCTACTTACACTTAGGTCACACTACACATGCATGTACAAATATATATAGTATACACACCCCTCTGTGTTTTCTTCTATTTTCTTACTAGTTCTTATTCTTGTTTATTTCCTCTTATTTCCATGGGAAAGTGGAACAGAATTCTTCCTCTGTAAGCCATACGTATCATAAGAGGTGACTAAAATGCCGGGAGCAAGGAGCTAGTAACCCCTTCTCCTGTATACATTACTAAAGTTAAAAGGAGAAATTGTTGTTTTTCTTTTTGGGTCACCCTACCTCGGTGGGATACTGCCGGTTTGTTGAAAGAAAGAAGAAAGTATTAATAATTTTTCCTTGCTTATATAAAGAAGCAGGCCTGCAACCAAAGAGGGCTGAGGTGGAGGCATTGCCTGCCCCTGGAAATGTTTTGGCCATTTTCTTCCTGGAAATTTTCAGAAATGGCAAGAACATACAGTGAGACTAAACATGTACGAATTCATCACTCGAATGTAGGGCTAGATGACAGCATCATCATGTGCAGTACTAGTGACATAGATGTGTGAAGTGTTGATGAGCAGTTAGCCAAGTTTAACTCTTCATTATTCGAGAGCACTGGCATTTTGTTGCACGAGTTATGACATAGGTTCACCGACGACACTAACTTATATATAGTTGTTGATGCAATAAAATTTGAAACAGAAAACTTCTTTTTTTAATCTGGAAGCTATGATTTGGCAAAATTTTTCCCATGAAGTGCAGTTGTAGCAACCATTTTGAGTAGATATATATATATATTTTTAACACATTGACTGTCTTCCACTGAGGCAGAGTGACCCAAAAAGATAGAAACGCTTTCACCATCATTCAGCACATTCGCCATGATTCACACAATATCATTGTCTTTGCAAAGGTACCCAGATCTGACAGTTTAGATATCACTCCAAACAGCCAATATCCCAACCCCCTCCTTTGAAGCACAGGCATTGTACGTCTCACCTCCAGGGCTGAAGTCTGGTTAACCAGTGTCCCTAAATCCCTTAACAAAATATTACCCTGCTCACACTCCAACAACTCTTCAGGTTCCAAAAACCATTTGTCTCCATTCACTCCTAACACTTATACACATGCCTGCTGCATGATATAGATATAGGTATTGTAATCCCATCATGAGAATCATAAGGTAGTAAATTCTCTCATAGTACATTCCAGTGAAGATAACAAATAACAAAAAAGGCACAATACCTCGACTGGAACGATACACAAATAACCCGCACATAGAAGAGAGGAGTTTACGATGACGTTTCGGTCTGACTTAGACCATTTGCAAAGTCACACTGATATGATATACATGACAAATGACCAGTGCAGTTCATGAAATGATATACATAGCAAAGGGCCAATGCAATTCTTATAAAAGCTGTTTGACCATAAACAAGCCTTCCTGGGTGTGAATCAAGTTGTGGCTGCAGTTGAAAGATTTGGATGCTCAACTGCAATGCAAGTATCTGCATTTTCAACACTATTTTACATCAATCAGACAGTACATTAGGCATGTTGTCTGATGAGAAACCAGAACTTGCTTTTCTCTTCTTTAAATCTCAAAGGATGAATAATTTAAATATTGACATCTTTCCAAGCAAATTTTCACAAAAACAGTGCAGAATATAATTGTATTAATTCAGTCACTGCAAACCACACTGATGTGACATGAAGATAGTAGCTTGTAGCTAAATGGTAGGTTAATGGGACTTCAGTCTATTGACTACATGAGGGTCGTTAAGGCTGCATGCCACCTGTTCACCACCAGTGACATATTTTAATCCCTTAAGTAGGGATTAAAGCAAACTCTCACCATATATAAACTAAGACATGATTCTCACAGTCTGTGTATCTTGTGCAGCTTATGTGAAATCAGTTTATGTTCCTATTTTTGCCTAAACAGTAATTTGCAATATTGGGAGGGAGGGAGGGCATTTTTATTAAAACTATTTAAAAAATTGTTCCATGAGATTTTATGAGATAAAAGATGATCACTGTTAATAATGTACTTAAAACACATCTAGTTCATAATGTATTTGTACACTTAATAAATGAATTAACCCACTTGATAAATAGAATAAATGTATTAATACACTTGGTAAATAGAATAAATGTACAGTGGACCCCCGGTTAACGATATTTTTTCATTCCAGAAGTATGTTCAGGTGCCAGTACTGACCGAATTTGTTCCCATAAGGAATATTGTGAAGTAGATTAGTCCATTTCAGACCCCCAAACATACACATACAAATGCACTTACATAAATACACTTACATAATTGGTCGCATTGGGAGGTGATCGTTAAGCGGGGGTCCACTGTATTAATACACTTAGCAAATAGAATAAATGTATTAATGCACTTGGTAAATAGAATAAATGTATTAATACACTTAGCAAATAGAATAAATGTATTAATACACATGGTAAATAAAATAAATGTATTAATACACATGTTAAATAGAATAAATGTATTAGCACACTTGGTAAATAGTATACTGTATTAATACATTTGGTAGAGTAAATACAGTTCTGAGCATTGCTTGAAACTAATTTCTTTACTTGCAGTGAGTACAACTTGCCGTGCAGAAGAGTCATCATAGACTTTGATGCCATTGACTGGAACAGCGTGTAATGGCTGCCCCTAACTTTATAAAAGATCAAGAAATGACAATTTGGGCATATGCTTCATGAATGTTGATACACTGAATATGAATATTTACATTTAGTATGATTTTGAATACATATATGCAGTATTTACATTATATATACAGGTATATACAGGCTGCCCATCACTAATCTGGCATCATCAGGCCCTGTAGGGTGCCAGCTTAGTGATTTTGCTGGATTACAGAGTAGTTAGGTTAGAATACACAACCCTATGGTGATATTTCACCCACTTTATGTCCTATTTTTGGCCCATTCCATTGTTCCAGTCTACCAAACTCATGGCTATTTCACTAGTATTCCTTCGATTCTGTCGATTGAGTACACGAAACCACCTATTTACCTATTTCAACTACCTAATAAAGTGGTCAGAAATTGGTAACTTGGCCAATTTCACACAAGTTGCAAGAGATGCCAATTTCAAAATAGGGTCCAGAATAAACAATGCAGACATTCCTGGCACTAAAATAACATTTTCCCTGTTCATTAGTCATATCTCCAGGCCCCTCTTATATTACACTTGCTTTCCATTTTGAATTTTTATTCACACAAAAATAGAAGATTTGCTGTTATGCAGACTGCTGCAGTATTGTAATAATTGTATAAATAATTTCAACCCATTTGTGACCACATATTAGACCGGCCAGTTGGACGTGCATTGGACGTTGACATCATTTGTTTACTCTTGAACATTGGCAAAAATTAAACATTTCTGCTACTTTGAGCTCAGCTTCAAGATACTTTCCACTGTGAAACCAATCAAAAACATATAAATTTCTGTAATATATCGTTCATTCTACTAAATGAAACCAAAAAATGAGAATACAACCATAAAAAATATATATGAAAATACACCGCAGTCACTGTTTTACACCAATAACATGGTTGCAGTTTTTTCTCATTATGCACTGTGTGCTGCAGGATTTTTTTATTTATAGTGCACACTTACCACACAGACCTATTCTCTCATATGTGGACCCAAATTTACCAGCCACAGCTTATGTGAGTGAGCTGAGCTCATGGCAACTGACAGTGGCTTCAAAGCCAACTTATCTTTTATGGACAATGCATGATGTATGTGCTTTACATAACAAGAAGCATTTCTTTTATTTGTTGGAACCATGGCTAAGGCTAAAAGTGAGCAGGTTATAAAAATGCAGTAAATGGAGAAAAAGAAATTGGAATGACTTATGCAGCAGGTAGCGCCACCAAACAGTAGCAGCAGGTTGGTGTGGCGACCTCGGAAATTTGAAATAATGCTAGCTGAAATTAGTGCCAGATTACTGATGAAACCAGATTACTGATTGCTGGATTAGTGATGGCTGACTTGTATATACTGAATATTAGCATTGAATGTTTATATTGAATAGTTACATCAGACACGTTGAATACTAATGTTGAATGTTTACATTGAATATACAATACATTAAATACTAACATTGTTTACAATAAATGTACAATATACAGTGGTACCTTGACTTACGAGTGCCCCAACTTATGAGTTTTCCGAGCTACGAGCCATTGCTCAATCGAGTTTTTGCTTTGAGTTGCGAGCCAAAATCTGAGTTATGAGCAATCTTCAGAAACACTGCCACTAGTTGGCAATGTATCTGAAGTCCAATCCAACTCTGTACCCAGAGGAATGTCAGGTACTTCCTCCCATCCCACATGCTCTTCCAAGACATAAATGAAAGGATAATACTCCCACACTACTCTCAGATTGTAGCAAGGCACCTCGTCCCTTGTTTGGTTCTCGTACAAATCCGGGGAAGAAGTAACCTCCATTTCAACACTCATAGTTTTTCCAGAAACATTAAGGTGGGTGGAGCAGTGATGGTGGTGGGTGGAGTAGTGATGGTGGTGGGTGGAGTAGTGATAGTGGTAGGTGTAGTAGTGAGGGTGGTGGGTGGAGTAGTGAGGGTGGTGTATGTAGTGATGGTGGTGGGTGTAGTTGAGATGGTGATGGGTGGAGTAGTGAAGGTGGTGGTTGGAGTAGTGAAGGTGGTGGTTGGAGTAGAGATGGTGGTGGGTGGAGTAGTGTGGGTTGTGGATATAGTAGAGATGGTTGTGGGTGGGTAGTGAGGGAGGTGGGTGGAGTAGAGATGGCGGAGGGTGGAGTAGTGAAGGTGGTGGGTGGAGTATACAATACGTATTTCTTATTTATAAATACAGTACATACATTTTTATTATTTAAAAACCCGTAACCAAAAAATTGGGGTGGTTTTTTAGTGGCTGGAATGGATTAATGGCATTTCACTTAATTTCTATGAGGAAAAGTGATTTGATATGCGAGCAAATTAAGTTACGAGCTCGGCCACGGAACGAATTAAACTCGTAAGTCAAGGTACCACTGTATATTGAATCATCTTCTTTCAACAAACTGGCCGTATCCCACTAAAGATAAAATGAATATTAACATTAAATACTGACAGTGCATATTCGGTATTAACATTGAATACAGTGGAACCTCAAATTTCGAATGTATCGCTTATCGAACTTTTCGAAAATCGACTGCTTTTTTCAAACCAACTTTGTCCCTATTATTGAACTCGCCCCTTCTTTTGAACCACTGGGTACCAGACCTGTCCACCAGCTCGCTCTGTCCACGTCCCCGCGCAGGCGCCGTGAGCTAGTCTGGCTTTGTTGATGCTTGAGTGAACACTAACCTGAAGTCTCATTCAAACATTTTACGATTAATTCATTGTGTTTAGTGCTTGTGGGACTGTGAAATAAGCTACCATGGTCCTAAAGAAACTTGCTAGTGGTACCCCTGTGGTAAAGAAAGTGAGAAACACCACAGATGTGAAAAAGGAAATAATACAGAAGTATGAGAGTGGTGTGCGACTTGTTGAGCTTGCCAGGATGTACAGGAAAAACAAGTCTACCATTGCTTCTGTCCTGGCAAAGGAAGAACAAATCAAGGAAGCTGATGTTGCGAAAGGTGTTGATATGCTAACCAAAAAAAGACCACAGAGAATTGATCAGGTTGAGAAGTTGTTTCTGGTGTGGATCAAGGATAAAGAGATGGCAGGTGATAGTGTTTCAGAGACAATTATTTGTGAAAAGGCAACGAAGTTGCATGCCAATTCAAAGACTAAGGAGATTTGTGCCAAGTGGAATGATGTCCAAATGTTTGTGGAGAAGTACCACCCTGAGCAAGCGGAAACAAGCCATCTTTGCAACAAGTTCAGTGAGAGAACCATGTCCCATTTTAGGGAAATCTTAAAAAGGCTGCAGAAACAGAGGACTGTGGACAGTTATTTTGTGAGACAGGGGTCCAGTGACTCTCAAGCTGGTCCTAGTGGCATTAAAAGACAGAGAAGGGTAGTAACCCCAGAGAGAGCTTTGATACCTAAAGTCCTTATAGAGGGGATTCCCTTTCCAAACACTAACCCCAACTCCCTCTCTCCTCCTCCCTATCTTCCAGATGCCATCACCAGTCTTCAATAAAGGTAAGTAAAAATGTTATTTTATATGTTTATTTAAATTTATTAATAATTGTACACTATATTTGTTGTATTTTTTTTTTTAACACACTGGCTAATTCCCACCAAGGCAGGGTGGCCCAAAAAAGAAAAACTTTCACCATCATTCACTCCATCACTGTCTTACCAGAAGGCTGCTTTACACTACAGTTTTTAAACTGCAACATTAACACCCCTCCTTCAGAGTGCAGGCACTGTACTTCCCATCTCCAGGACTCAAGTCCAGCCTGCCGATTTCCCTGAATCCCTTTATAAATGTTACTTTGCTCACACTCCAACAGCACATCAAGTATTATAAACCATTTGTCTCCATTCACTCCTATCAAACACTCTCACGCATGCCCGCTGGAAGTCCAAGCCCCTCGCACACAAAACCTCTTTTTCCCCCTCCCTCCAACCTTTCCCAGGCTAACCCCTACCCCGCCTTCCTTCCACTACAGACTGATACACTCTTGAAGTCATTCTGTTTCGCTCCATTCTGTCTACATGTCCGAACCACCTCAACAACCCTTCCTCAGCCCTCTGGACAACAGTTTTAGAAATCTCGCACCTCCTCCTAACTTCCAAACTACGAATTCTCTGCATTATATTCACACCACACATTGCCCTCAGACATGACATCTCCACTGCCTCCAGCCTTCTCCTTGCTGCAACATTCATCACCCATGCTTCACACCCATAAAAGAGCATTGGTAAAACTATACTCTCATACATTCCCCTCTTTGCCTCCAAGGACAAAGTTCTTTGTCTCCACAGACTCCTAAGTGCACCGCTCACCCTTTTCCCCTCATCAGTTCTATGTTTCACCTCATCTTTCATAGACCCATCCGCTGACACGTCCACTCCCAAATATCTGAATACATTCACCTCCTCCATACTCTTTCCCTCCAATCTGATATCCAATCTTTCATCACCTAATCTTTTTGTTATCCTCATAACCTTACTCTTTCCTGTATTCACTTTTAATTTTCTTCTTTTACATACCCTACCAAATTCATCCACCAACCTCTGCAACTTCTCTTCAGAATCTCCCAAGAGCACAGTGTCATCAGCAAAGAGCAACTGTGATAACTCCCACTTTATCTGTGATTCTTTATCTTTTAACTCCACGCCTCTTGCCAAGACACTCGCATTTACTTTTCTTACAACCCCATCTATAAATATATTAAACAACCACGGTGACATCACACATCCTTGTCTAAGGCCTACTTTTACTGGGAAATAATCTCCCTCTTTCCTACATACTCTAACTTGAGCCTCACTATCCTCGTAAAAACTCTTCACTGCTTTCAGTAACCTGCCTCCTATACCATACACCTGCAACATCTGCCACATTGGCTCCCTATCCACCCTGTCATACGCCTTTTTCAAATCCATAAATGCCACAAAAACCTCTTTAGCCTTATCTAAATACTGTTCACTTATATGGTTCACTGTAAACACCTGGTCCACACACCCCCTACCTTTCCTAAAGCCTCCTTGTTCATCTGCTATCCTATTCTCCGTTTTACTCTTAATTCTTTCAATAATAACTCTACCATACACTTTACCAGGTATACTCAACAGACTTATCCCCCTATAATTTTTGCACTCTCTTTTGTCCCCTTTGCCTTTAATCAAAGGAACTATGCATGCTCTCTGCCAATCCCTAGGTACCTTACCCTCTTCCATACATTTATTAAATAATAGCACCAACCACTCCAAAACTATATCCCCACCTGCTTTTAACATGTCTATCTTTATCCCATCAATCCCAGCTGCCTTACCACCTTTCATTTTACCTACTGCCTCATGAACTTTCCCCACACTCACAACTGGCTCTTCCTCACTCCTACAAGATGTTATTCCTCCTTGCCCTATGCATGAAATCACAGCTTCCCTATCTTCATCAACATTTAACAATTCTTCAAAATATTCCCTCCATCTTCCCAATACCTCTAACTCTCCATTTAATAACTCTCCTCTCCTATTTTTAGCTGACAAATCCATTTGTTCTCTAGGCTTCCTTAACTTGTTAATCTCACTCCAAAACTTTTTCTTATTTTCAACAAAATTTGTTGATAACATCTCACCCACTCTCTCATTTGCTCTCTTTTTACATTGCTTCACTACTATCTATAAAATGTATTTTTTTTTTAATATTTTTGGGTTTCTGGAACGGATTAATTGTATTTCCATTATTTCTTATGGGAAATATTGCTTTGTCTTTCAAACTTTTCGACTTCAGAACTTGCTCCTGGAAAGGATTAAGTTTGAAATTTGAGGTTCCACTGTATATTTATTTTTTGATATTTATCATTGAATGTAGAGGGAGACATCCGTGATATACGTATTCATTATCTTTTGATTATTTTTTGTATTCTTCAGTTTTAAGTAATTAAGTTTTAGTATTTATTGTGTAGACTGCTGAATATTGAAGACAGAGTAAAACAACTGAACTTAAATCAAGTTTATAAAATTACTCACAAACAGTGTCCAGAATATCTTGCTGCTAATTTTGTCAAGGCTAGGAACTGAAGCAGTTATAGTACTAAGGGGAGAGAGCACCAGTTTAACCCTTTCAGGGTCGACAGGCCCTCTCAGAAACTTGTTCTCAGGGTCGGCCAAATTTCAAAAAAAAAAAAAAATTTTTTTCGTATGAAAAGATAAAGAATATTTTCCCGATCATAATGACACCAAAAGTATGAAATTTGATGGAAAACTTACGGAATTATGCTCTACCGAAGTTAGCAGTCTTGACTATGTTTACGCATCGGCGATTTTACCCACTTTGAGCCCTATTTTTGGCTAATTCCAGTGTACTTGTCGACAAAAATCATAACCATTTCTCTAGAACTCCATTTTTTCTATCGAATGAGTACAAGAAACCACCCATTTACTGATTTCAACTATCCAGTACAGTGGTCAGAATTTAGCAATTTTGCCAATTTCACACAAATTTCAAAAGATGCCAATTTCCGAATAGGGTTCAGAATAAACAAGAAAGACATTCCTGGCACTAAAATAACATTTCCTCTGTTCATTAGTCACGTCCCTATGCCCCTCTTAAATTTTCTTGCTTTCCACTTTGAATTTTTATTCTCACAAAAAAATAGAAGGTTTACTGTTATGCAGACTACTGCATTGGTATAGAAATGGTATAAATAATATCAGCGGCCTCATGAAAGAATATTAGACTCACCAGTTGACGTGTATTGGACGCATAGCATGATTTGTTTACTTTTGAACTTTGGTAAAAATCGAACATTTCTGCTACTTTGAGCTCAATTTCAAGGTACTTTGTAAAACCAGTCAAAATCATCTCAATTTCTGTAATATGTCTTCCATTCTATAAAATGAGACCAGGTAAACTAGAATACAACAATAAATACCATATGAAAATACAGTGCAAAGTCGCTGTTTTAATCCAAAAACACGGTCAAAGTTTTTTTTTTCTCATTACACACTGTGTGCTGCAGGATTTTTTTTATACTGCGCACACTGACCACATAGACCCATTCTTTCATATGTAGGCCTACCAGCTTTCACTAGATTTGAGGGCGCTAGAATTTAGGCGTACTAGTACGTCAAAAACCCTGGCTCGTAAGCCGTACTAGTACGGTCGAAACCCTGAAAGGGTTAAGAAGAGAGCCAAAAGGTACCTAATGAATGTAGTGACAGAAAGGGAGGAGAATGATATTTTATTTTTTTAGCAAACATGCATGTAAATGTAAATAACTCATTTTACCTAATTCCTAGTAAATATCCTTAATAGTATAATAATAAGATATCTCCTACATTTTATAATAATAAGGAATTAAAAGGAGCCCAATGGAAATAAGTCAGTCTGTCTGAATTTTTTGGGTTATCCTAGATTCTCTACACATATGCTGCTATGTATGATAATCTATGTAACTGTATTTGTGTATACCTGAATAAACTTACTTAATAACCACTTGTTTATGTAACTTTCAAGTAGCCAGCATGTTTAGTGGGGTATAACTATAAGTGTAGTATTTCCTGTTGTAAGAACATAAGAAAGAAGGAACACTGCAACAGGCCTACTGACCCATGCAGAGCAGGTCCATGTCCCCCCCCCCCGGATTAGACCCAGGGCCGGATTACCGCATAGGCAAACGAGGCATTTGCCTAGGGCCCCGCGCATTTGGGGGCCCCGCGGTCCAAGGGGTTCAGGGGCTCATCCAAGACTGCACACATGGTGCAAGTGCAAAGGGGTCCCTACCTAAAAAGTTCAAGTGTTTGGAGAGTAAAATTGATTTTTAAAAATTAATCAAAACAAAAATAAATAATGAAATAAAATAAAATAAAAATAAATAAACCTAACCATAGATGGCAACACTCAACACGCCTTTGTTTACATCAGAACAGCTGTGTTTTCCCGCTAGTGGGTGAGTATGGGAGATTCCTCTCCAATTTTCTGTAGTGATTACATGTTATCTAGACTTGTACTGTGACAAATTAACTGAAGTGTTGTTGATAGACATTGATGTGTATGGATAAATGTTTGTTTTCGCCTCTAAATGTTAAGGGAGGTACCTGATAGGGTTACTTGACCAGTAAAGACGCATGGACCAGTAAAGATGCATTTTTGGTAAAAATACTATAAAGAAAAACCTAAAAACGCAAACTGACTTCTGTTTGTAGGTTTTAAAAGCACTTTGTCCTGTCTTTAAGTCTTTATCATTTCAATAACAGATCTCAGTTGATTGATGTTCTACATCACTTCCGTCGCAAATGCTTAGTTTTCAAGTTGCGACGGAAGTGATGTAGAACATCAATTAATTTACTACATATTTCCCCAGAAACACATAAGCCACATCAGAAAATCTATCATGTGGGAGTTCGAATACGTGGATTAGGTAAAGAAATATTCACGTAGGCTGGTAGTACGTATAATTACAGATAAGGTGGGTTGCGCCCTTACAGCCGTGACCTGCCTCCTTGCTCACTCTCGTATAACTGACTGACTGGCCGCCCACAGTACCCATATGTGAGAGGGTCTTTGAATAATGCCAGGTCAGCGCAATATGAGTTCAGATAGTGACTCAGGCAGAGACGGTTGGTCGTTGAGTCAACGGTACACTGGTTACTGGTAACTGGTTACTACTACTGAGAGCTCGGCGACGCTAACGTATGTTGTCCCGACATACAACTAATACAAACTAGAGATGGCAGGTATACGGCTTGGGCTGATTCTATACAATGTCAAAGTACACAACAATTAAACATTATAACATACATAAGTAGAACATTGGAATGGAAGCTTACGTGACTGAAACTGTAATGCAATACAAGGTATACTATAGTACAACTTAAAACTCAACAAATGAACAACGAACTCAACGTTGAGATTACAAGTGATAAAAAAAAAATTTTGATCGATCGATCTGTATTCATGTGATCTACGGATTCTGAGGAAGGAATATATACAAAGAAAGAGTGTTTAACAGAAAGGCAGATTCGGTGCACTCAAATCTAGACTGTTAACTCTCAGAATGCGGAGAGAACATGAACACAAAAAAAAATTCTTGAATACTGATAAGTTGATACTGTAATTATTCATCTATACAGGTTATTTACATTTAACCCCAACTCTGCTAGGGTGAGATTGACATATGCAGAATGGGTGTCATCTCTGGAGGATCAAACTCTGTAGCATTGGCTAACTCATGCTGTATTTGAGGCAAATCTGAATTGGATGTTACAAATGATACTTGAGGATTTCTCAATACCTGTCGTGTACGTAGGGAATAACGACATTCAGGTTGATCGTCTGACTGAGTATCAGAGGAAGAGAGTACAGGATCAGGAGGATTGTCAGAGTCTGTCACATTAGTCTGGGTTGGAACATCATTATCATCACATACTAACTTCATATGATCTAAATGCGATTCTTTATACTGACCAGTACTAATCTCTCTAACCTTATACTTATTACCAGTGATATGTTCAACTACTCGATAAGGACCAATAAACTTTTGATCAAGCTTTGGCATTGCAGACGTTTTGTTAAAGTTAATCAGCATAACTCTCGAACCTACTTTGATTTTGGATGGCTTTGCTCGAGTGTTTGCGACTCTTGTAAATTCAGCTGTTGATTTATGAAGTGTTTCACGGATTCTTCTAAAAACACTTTGAGCTAAGCTAGTACGAGTTGCTATGAAATCATCAGGGTTGTAATTTGGTTTCGGATTAGAATATAACAACTCATAAGGCAAACGTTTATCTACACCATACAATGCATAATGTGGAGTGTCACCTATAGAAACATTGTAAGCAGAATTTATAGCACACTGCACATCAGGTATAACTTCATCCCAAGTTTCACTGTTGGGATTGATAGTGGCTCTCAAGACATCAAGTACTTTCTTATTGGTTCGTTCCGCTAACCCATTGCTGGCAGGATGATGAGGAACAATGGTGGATTTAGAGATCTTGTACAAGGTGCACAAATTTTCAAGAATCTCATTACAGAATTCACCTCCATTATCTGTTACTAGTGACTTAGGGTGGTGGTATGCCTGCAGATAATGCGTTCTTTAAACGCTTTAGCTACTGTCTCGGCAGTCTTATCTGCAATAGGAACTAACTCACAATATCTGGTGAAATGGTCTACCATAACACACAGATGTTTGTTACCTTGGAGGGAACATTGGAAATTAGTTAACAAATCTAGCGCAACTCTTTCCCACGGTTCGCTAGTAGTTGGATATACTTGGATTGGATTAGGACCATTAGCATTACCTTTATGTTGCATGCAGACACTACATTTCTTAACATACTCAGAAATATCAGTTGCCATACGAGGCCAAAAGTATTTCAATCTGGCTTGTTTTACTGAACATGTCGGGTAAATATAATGGATTGCAAGCCCGTATCAAGCAAATCAACCCACTTGCTGAATATGTGCCCTGCTCAGCACATTCTCTTAATCTTGTTGGGTCATGTGCTGCGGAGTGTTGTGTCACTGCAGTTTCATTTTTTGGACTTTTACAAGCACTCTTTAATTTTTTCTCTGCTTCAATGCATCGGTGGAGTATACTCAAGTCAACCATTCATGGAGATGTCATCAAATCATTATCAACAACAAGGTGGTCAGCGCAGCATGATACAACACATGCTTTGAAAGACAGCTTTGCTGAAATACGTTCTGCTTTGATCCAAATAGCAGAGGATGAAGACCAGACAGCAACTACAAGAAGCGAAGCAGCCAGCTTAGCATCAAAATTGGAGGATTTTGAATTGGCCTTACTCTGTGTGCTTTGGGACTGTATACTGGAACGGTTAAATGCCACGAACAAGACACTTCAGAAAATTGAAATTGAAATGGCTACTTGTGCTAACCTCTATGCAGGCTTAGTGGAATTTGTAAGCTCACTTCGCAATGATGAAGCTTTTGAAATGTTTGAAGAGAAAGCTAAACTGCTGGTGAAAGACTACAGTTACCGGGCTGATCATCAGCGGTCAAGGAAGAGGAAACGCAATTTTGAAGAGCCAGACAATGAAATTGTGTTGCTACCAAGGCAGAAATGTAAGACAGCTACATACTTCGTCATTCTGGATTCACTGATTACAGAATTGGTGAAAAGAAAAGAAATCTACCAGACTCTCAATGACAAGTTTGGATTTCTGTTCAAAATTACTACTATGCCAGATGCAGAATTGAGAGAAGCTGCATTAAAGTTGCAACAATACCTTTCAGCAGATGTTCAGGACACATTTGTTGAAGAAATAGTTCAATTTTCTGGGTATATGAATCAGATTAAAGCTCCAACTGAAAAATGTGTGCCCTCAGCTGCTTTGAAACATTTAAGAAATGCAGGTATCTCAGAAACCTTCCCTAATGTTGACATAGTGTATCGCCTTTACCTAACACTTCCAGATACTAACTGTGAAGGAGAACGTTCATTTTCTGTTTTGAAAAGAGTGAAAAACCAGCTCCGTTCAACAATGAGCCAAGACAAATTGTGTAACCTAGCCTTGTTGACCATTGAGTCTGATCTAACAAGAAATATTGATTTTCAGAATATAATTGATGATTTTGCCAATATGAAATCCAGAAAAAAATTTATTTAAGAAGTGCCTGTGAATATAAACAGTTCTTTACTTTCTTGAGTTTATATGATTTGATAGTCTTATGCATGATGCAATGATAACAATAATGGTCAGTGATTTATAAAGGGAATAATAGTGCTGTAGTGGTTATGCTGAATATAATAGGTACATGATGTCACTACTTTAATAGCCTAATCTAGTAATACTATGCTGTCTTGAGTTTATTCTCTTTAAAATGCATGATTTAACAAGATAGTTATAATGGCTGTTGGTAAATGGTTTTGGTTGCCTTGATGTACTTTCCCTATTAAATTTAATCTAAATAGCCAGAACGTATTTAATTAGACCTTAAACAGGCTCACACCGACCCCCCCCCCCAAGCTGGAAGGGGTCGCTTCGTTTACCCGTAACTCAAAGGGGCCCCGCCAATCTGAATAGCCTAGGACCTGGAGACTTCTTAATCCGGCCCTGATTAGACCAATGACCCCCCCCCCCCAGATTATCCCAATGACCCACCCAGTCTGGTCATCCCCACTCAAGGATGGAGCACTGTACCAGACCCAGCAACACAAGCTAGTCAGGTCCAACTCACACCCACCCACACCCACTCATGTATTTATCTAACCTATTTTTAAAACTACACAACGTTTTAGCCTCAATAACTGTACTCGAGAGCTTGTTCCACTCATCCACAGCTCTATTACCAAACGAGTGCTTTCCTATATCCTTCCTGAATCTGAATTTTTCCAACTTGAAACCATTGCTGCGAGTCCTGTCTTGGCTGGAAATTTTCAGCACACTATTTACATCCCCTTTATTTATTCCTGTTTTCCATTTATACACCTCGATCATATTCCCCCTAATTCTACGCCTTTC